ACTGGGGGCTGTGACCCCCAAACTGGGAGAGTGGCTTCAACAGATCCCAGGAACAACATCTGAGATCTCTGTCCAGAAGAGTGTAGTCCTAGGAGCAGCTAAGATACTGCACAGGACCCTCAAGCTCCCAGGCCTCTGGTAGAGGACCCGAGCTTGAAGGAAGGAATACGAGACCGCCCCAAATTGGGGGGCGAGTGGGGATTTTTTTTTATATCACAACTTTATATTTTATATCACAATTAGAGATTGACAAGGTACAACACAAATGCTATGGCAAGGGGGAGCCAGGCATGTCAGGTCAGGGGGAGATATCATCATCATCATCACCCCCAGAATTGCAGATTAGGTCCCAACCCCAATAACAAGCCCAGATGAGCTTAATGCAAAAGCAGCTGACCTGAGACTGAAGATCATGACCAAGATAGACACTTGGAACCTCTGTGGCCAGTTACCAAGACTAAGTGAAGTGCTCTAAGTACAGGCTCTAAGTGCAAGATCAATAGAGGCTGGGGTCTACCATACCAGGCAGGACCCCAGGTGCAGGCTGTGTGAAGATGCCCCTGAGACAATCCAGCACATACAGGTAACAGCGGTGTGCAAGATGGATGGATGGATGTGCCTACATCATGCACATTTTAGCATCTCCTCTACAGTTTAATCCTGGTGTATTTTGGCACTGACATTCCATTTCTTTTTCGACATGTGAGCTCACCCATATATGGACTGTAATGTAAAAATGTGACAAATTATGTTTGAATATGTACATTGTCAACCAGTTTTTAAGGTCAAACTTAGCACACTAAATCTGCTGACGAGGACCGTATAAGGCAATCACAAGCTCCAGAACATGCGAGTAAGTGGAGCCTGAGTTGAGAATATTTTGTCACCTGCTGTTTGCAAGGTTAAGAGTGAACTGTCAAGTTTATTTATGTTGCATAAGTATATTAAGGCATATAACTAAATTTCTCAGACTGCACTTTGTGATATAAAATAGACTTTAGACATGTGTTTACTGCTTCTTAGTATCATGTTAACATTTGCTGAGCACTGACATTCACTCCTTTGCTCCTGGAATAATACCAAATGTCTGTGGTAAATTAATCTAAACACGTTTACAAGTTTATTCATAACAATTTTTCTGGGCTTTCAGTTGTATTCCATAGACTTCTTCTCAACTGGAACTTGTTCAGGTGTCATTATATGACTTAACAACAAGTCTTCTGTCAGAAGGGATACTGTACAGCTGTGTCTAAGCACAGATTATACTGTATATATATATATATATATACAGTATACCGGCATTCCCCCGGAGGAGCTGGAGGAAGTGTCTGGAGAGAGGGAGGTCTGGGCATCTTTGCTTAGACTGCTGGCCCCGCGACCCGGCCCCGGATAAGCGGAAGAAAATGGATGGATGGATGGATGGAACAATATGCAAGTGGAGGCTCTTCAGCTGCTCATTCTTTGAAAACACCTGAGGTGGCGCTGTTTGCTTGTGGTTTCTACAAGTGTGTATCTGCTGGCACACAGAACACTGCATCACTTTAAGCCATATTCTGGTTGGTTGGTTTGCAGGGTTGTAGCAGCAGCAGGGATCTTTGCTTAGACTGCTGCCCCCGCGACCCGGCCCCGGATAAGCGGAAGAAAATGGATGGATGGATGGATGGATATATGTACATACATGATATGATTAGTGTATATAATATTGTGGTTCTACCATGACTATATAGGGCTCTGTTAGACTGTTTCATCCTCTATTCTAGCCATTCTAATCAAAGTCATGGTAAAGAGGTGGGTTTTAAATACAGTACTACCTTTTAACAGCAGCACTTCCTTCACTGGTCGCTCACGGTGTTAATCCACTTCCTTGTTAAAGCATATTAAAAGACCACCACAGAAACAGACTGAACACACTACTGAACTTAAGATAGTAATTAATAACTTAATGCTGTGTCTACTGAAGTGCATTTGAACTGTGATGCAACTGCTTAGCATACTGTAGGAAAAACCTGAACTGAATATACAGTATAGTCAGTGAGCATGAATGTGGACTGAACTGAACAAAACAATTCCAAAGAAATCAGTGTGTCATCTCATCCCAGGGTGTCAAATACTGACATTTTGTCAAGTACCCTTTGGTGTCTCATACTAAAGCTACAGCAAAGGGTACCTTCTGCATCTGCATGAGATGCACAGGGTTTCCCATAAAGAACAGTGTTAACTCACTTGCATCAGTATAAGACACCAAAGGTGATTAACAAAACATGAATACCACTCTCCTGTGGAAAAGTCTAATACTATGTGTCTGACCTACAGTACCTATCCTCCCCAACCTCCTCCTAATGTGGATTTTCTCTCTTCATATACTATAAATACGGACCTGTCGTTCTAGGTGATTTGAGTGGGTTAATACTGCTCTCTACTGAAAATGCCATGCTTCTCATGAGGATGTCTTTTAGCATCTAACCACTAAACACTAAAGGTGCTTGACAGTGTCAGTATTTGATGTCCAGCGAATGAAATGGATTAGAGGGGGCCGTGATCGCCCCCTCTAATCCACACATCATGGTTGGGGTCATTTCATTGCAGTGGCTTGTGAAACTATAAAATCAGGGGTAAGAGTCACGTATCAGCCAAACACCTTGCACACACCCAGTGAGGATTAGCAAGCAGTTGTCTGGTCACAGAGCAGCTGTCCATTTTAGGATGCTGTATCGATGC